TCTCTCAGAGCGTGACAGGTGCAGATTGATTGCAGACTCCTTTCATTATGAGGAAAAGAAAGAGTCGTCGCTGTCACTCTGTGAGTTCCCCTTATGTTTCTTTACTTTTGTCTCCCAGGTTCGGTGCCTGCACTGCTGGTGTCCACCCTTTTCCGCTGGCCATGCAACATTTCTATTCATTTGTCTCTGCAACATTTCTATTCATTTGTCTCCCAGGTGATTTCTTTACTTCCCCAAACAGGTTACTGTTAGGGTTCCCAATGCTTTCTAAGGGTGTCCGCCTTGCTGCGGGACAGCGAGTCCGCCTTCCGGCTTATCACCCTCTGTCTCCCTTGTTGGTCATTGTGTCCGCCTTGTCTCCCTCCTGTCTCGCTTTGTCTCCGGTCTTGTTTCCCTTCTTGTTGGTCACTGTGTCCACCTTGTCTCCCTTCTGTCTCCTTTTGTTTCCCTTCTTGTTTCCCTTCTTGTTGGTCACTGTGTCCGCCTTGTCTCCCTTCTGTCTCCCTTTGTCTCCGGTCTTGTCTGCCTTCTTGTTGGTCACTGTGTCCGCCTTGTCTCCCTTCTGTTTCCCTTCTTGTCTCTCTTCTTCTTGGTCATCGTGTCCGCCTTGTCTCCCTTCTGTCTCCCTTTGTCTCCGGGTTTGTCTCCCTTGTTGGTCAGTGTGTCCGCCTTGTCTCCCTTCTGTTTCCTTTTGTCTCCGGGCTTGCCTCCCTTCCTGTTGGTCATTGCGTCCACCTTGTCTCCCTTTGTCTCCCTTTGTCTCTCTTCTTGTGTCTTCCTTTCGGTTGGTCACTGTGTCCGCCTTGTCTCCCTTCTGTCTCCTTTTGTCTCCCTTCTTGTCTCCCTTCTTGTTGGTCACTGTGCCCCTTGTCTCCCGTGATCCTCCCTTTGTCTCCGGTCTTGTCTCTCTGCTTGTGGGTCACGGTGTCCGCCTTGTCTCCTTCTGTTTCCTTTTGTCTCCCTTCTTGTCTACCTTCTTGTCTGAAGTTATGCCGATGGGCTCACGTTTCAATCCGCTGGAATTTCTCACTGGAATTTTTCACTGCTTTCATGCATTTTCATGTGATTTCACGCACTCAGCTTGTTTCAATCACTACTACTATGTACCCGATGCCCGATGCGATTTTTGCCCAAACAGTTTACTGTTAGAGGTTCTCAATTCTTTCTTAAGATGCGTCCGCCCTTTCTGTCACTGCTGGTGTCCGCCCTTTTCCGCTGGCCATGCAGCATTTCTATTCATTTGTCTCGCAGGTGATCTCGTTACTTCCCCAAACAGGTAACTCAATGCTTTCTAAGGGTCTCCGCCTGTGGGACAGCGTGTCCGCCTTCCATCCGGCTTATCACCCTCTGTCTCCCTTCTTGTTGGTCATTGTGTCCGCCTCGTCTCCCTTTGTCTCCGGTCTTGTCTCCCTTCTTGTTGGTCACTGTGTCCATCTTGTCTCCCTTCCGTCTCCTTTTGTTTCCCTTCTTGTCTCCCTTCTTGTTGGTCACAGTGTCCGCCTTTCTGTCTGTGTGCGCCTTGTCTCCCTTCCGTTCTCCCTTCTTGTTGGTCCCTGTGTCCTGGTCCTCCTGTTTCCTTTTGTCTGCCATTGCGTCCGCCCTGTCTCCCTTCTGTCTCCCTTTGTCTCAGGTCTTGATTCCCTTCTTGTCTCCCAGCTCTAGACTGCTGTATCCGCCTCTGCCTTGCCCTTGCAATCCTTGATTTGTCTCCCAGCTCTGCGCTGCACGTCGCTTGCAATCCTTCACATTTGTTTCTCTGTGTCTACATTTGTCTCCCAGCTCTGGACTGCTGTGGCTCTTGCAAGCCTTTGTCTCCCAGCTCTGGACGTTGCAAGCTCTAGTGCAGAGTGTTCCGGTTTTGAAAAACACAAACTGTTTGGGGTCTACGGTGGTGAAAATTTCCCCCAAACAGTTTACTGTTGGGGGTTCTCAATGCTTTAAAGAATGGTCGCCTTGGTGCTGGATGGTCTGGTCGGGTTCCCGGCCGGCTTGTCTCCCACTTCCTTTCATTTGTCTCCCACTTCCGGAGATAAAGGGAGACAGAAGCGAGACAAGGCGGACGCAATGACCAACAAAAAGCCTTTGCGTGTGTCCCCGAGCTCTGGACTGCGGTTTCTTTACATTTGTCTCCCAGCTCTGGGTGTCGCTTGCAATCCTGTGTCTGCAATTGTCTCCCCGCTCTGGACTGCTCTTTCCGCCTCTGCCTTTCCGCATCTGCCTTGCAATCCTTTCATTTGTTTCCCAAACTCAGCGGTGCTGTGTCCGCCTCTGCCTTGCAATCCTTTACATTTGTCTTGCAGCTCTGACTGCTGTATTGTCTTCCAGTCCTTTGTCTCCCAGCTCTGGACGTCGCAAAACTCCAGTTGCAGAGTGTTCCGATTTTGAAAAACACAAACTGTTTGGGGTCTACGCGGGTGTAATTTCTTGGTAATGGGAGAGCATCAAGGTTTTTCCAAGAGGATTAGATTCGTACAAGAACAGGAGTAAAGTCCTCAGTTTCACAATTGCCGGGACTTACTTACTTTGCTTGACATTTGGTTCTCAACCCCCTGCAAAACCGGACGTTGAGAAACCAAACGCCAAATATAATAGCACTGTGGTTTTCGCATTCGTTGTGATCGGGGGACCTGCCATGCAGGTCACCCGATCACAACTATCAATATTTTGGGCATATTATTGCTTGAAGGAGATCAATCTCTTTCTTGTTCTTTCCCTCACAGCTGAGAGCTTTGGGGTCCAAACCAACATAGCCTTTTGGGCTCCGGCTAGGTTCCGGAGGCTCTGGGAAGTGTGAATCTTGTCGGGTTTCAACCGGGTATGGTTCTGGAAGGGAACTTTGTTCAATGGGCATGTCCAAGTTGCCGCGCTGGTCGCATCAGTTGCCGCAACACTGAGAACTGCCTTAATGCGACACGTGAGGCCTTGAGGAGCTGAAAGTGGGGGAAGATGCCTGGATCGACGAGCAAATGGCGCCATCATAGCGTTTGGAGTGTGGCACTTTCAAGAGAACCAATTTGCGAAACAGTTTCCAGTTGCGATGAGTGGCAGTCCAATTGACCAACTGTCCCCTGGTACGTGGCTTGAGTTTAACTCCTAGAGGTGCTTTTTGGTCAAGCAGAATTTGGATATATTATGTTATTGTACACATGTTAACTATTACGCACACACACACACATATATATATATATATATATAATACTCCAGTTTTGAACTGGTGTGCCTTTGCCCCCCCACTGGGTGTGCCTATACCCTGCTGAGGCACTTCCACCAAGCCTTCATCGCGCCTACTACCGTCAGCGGACGAACCCTGGGCATACCTTAGCCACGGCACAGTCGGTTGAGTGGCGCTCGAGGTGCTCCAGAGGATCCAGGCCAGTCTCGTCCGAAAATGAGAACATCTGGGCAACGGAAAAACTTCTGCTGGAGTTGTGAGTTCTGAGATATGTTTGGCCCGTCAGGACAGTTTTTTCAATCTTTTCATGAAAGATTTTGTGGCTTGTGAGAAGAGCAACAACAACAAGACCAACATGTAGAGTGTGAGCATGAGCCCGCAATGACAGCGCGAAGTGATGTTGAGCCTTTGGTGTAAGACCTCAAATGGCATGGCAAAGCGTTGAACATGAGATTGAAAGCCAGAAATCCTCCGGCTGCCCAGGTGGGCCAACTACGCCATTCTGCCGCATGATCACCAGCAGCCCATCACGGTGGAGGACAGAAGTGAGCACCGGGGTGTCCTCCAGGAAAGATGGGTAGGTCAAAGACCTGGTTGCATGGAAGGGGGGGATGACCTTCTGGGCTTTTCTCCCGCCAGAGGCCATTTGGGGATAGTGGACCTAGTGAATTGGTCAAGTTTTTATGTTGGCCTGCAGGAGGGTACGCATATGAGAGCACAGGCATGAGTGCAAATTGTGTCACTTTAATTGCGCTGTATCCAATTTCTTCCGCCGCTGCCCTTGAGCGCAAGATGAAGATCATATGCGACCTTTCGTTGGTGAACGCAATCGCCACGTGACCGCGCGGAAATCCGGAGCCCACTTGAGTGGGACGCTGCTCTGAAAAACTCCTACCGTTTGGGGACTTTAAGAACTACTACCGTCGGTCCACCCCAGATGGCTCAGTCCACCGCACTCAGTTGCAGTCCGCCGAGACAAAGGGCCGTCGGTGATCTTCGTAAAGGTGAAGGCGTTGGAGTCGGACTGGAAAATTCAAACAATGACACACTCTGCGAATCAAGTTCACATGGAGGTGGAGTGAGTTTTTATTGTTTGTTTGGTAGTCGGATTTTCATGGTCATCCGAACTCGGGGCAATGCCACCCACTTCCATGATTATTTCAGGGAGTGTGCATCTCCAACCTCGCAACGTTGCGCAGAACAACCAGATCTTCATCAATGGCTCGTTTCGCAGCGACATTGATGTCAACTATGCGCAGAATGGTCTGCAACCACCGCTGAGGTGCAGCGAATTGCCTCCGACAGAGTACCAGGAGAAACGTGGTTGGGCATTTGAGGACAATTCTTAGGCATTACTTCTTGAAAAACCCAATCAGTTCCATGATTCTGACAGCTTGACATGCGGGAAAACTCAGCGACCTGAATGGAGGCTGAATATTTACGCACCCGATCTTGCGGCGTGGACAGTGAATCCATAGAAACTTGACTTGTGGCTCTGTGGGTAACACGGCATGAAAAAACACCTAAGCTCGCAGTCTTGTTTTTTGCCACTGCGTCCACGATCAGCCCCATGGGCTCCAGGTTTGAACCATTGGTCAGCGAACCGTGGCCACATGTAGGTCGTGTCCAAAGGCTCAGAGCCCAGGGCAGACAAGTGGAACCGCTATTTACAGGTTCCCAACACTTTTTGCTGGCTACGCTGGGTAAAACTCAAGACTCCACTCTTGAGGAATTTGTTTAGAGATTCTTTGTTCCCGAACCTCTTGGTCAAGCAGTCCACGATCATTCGCTCGTGGTTGATCCATCTCGGCTCCTTGCATGCTCTGGCGCACCAGCTGCATCTCTATGGCCGTCCGTCGGTCCTCAGTGCTTCCCACCGTTGACTTGACCAAGTGGTCAAGCTGCGACTTGGCGTCGAAGAAGCATAGCCCCTTCTGCAAGGTCTCGTCGATGTTCTCCCGGTCAATTGCAGTGAGTCGTCTCTGGCTCGCAGCTTTCTCCCACTCCCTCAAGTCGAGTTGGGCACTGTGATGCTCCACGCCAGCCTCCTGTAACCCCTTGGCTGGAGATTGTGTCTCCGCCGTCAGGGTTGAGGCTCCAATTGAAGCTCGCGCATAGCTTCTCTCCTGTTCGGTTGCCTCTTCGTCTTTCTTGCGACCACCCAGTGTAAATGGTACTGGGTGCAGTCGTTCTGAGATGAACTTCTCCATGTCCAGGGCATCATAGCCTCCTGCCCTAATTCTTTTTGCCGTTGAGGGACACTCCCTCTTCTTGGCTCTTCAAGTCGACAAACCTCCGTCATGGGCCTCATTTCCCACACATAGCAGGTCATCCACCTCCACAATGACCAACTCTTGTAGTTCTCGAACTCCAGCTACGTTTCGTCCAATGTACTTGAACGCGCGTGGGTCCATTGCACTTCAGCAGAGCTCCTCCGAGACCCTTTCGCCAATGTACAGGAGCGCCTCCTAGACCGTGGGCTCTGGCCATGATCTCGATCGTTGGCAGGTTGAGTGCTGGGTAGTCCGCCCTTGGGGCTGTCTTTAAAACAGTCTTCCGCTTTCCCACACCAATCCTTCTGAGTGCATGAATGCATTCTTTAGGTCGGCCGCATAGGTGTTGAAGTTGTAGTTGGCGGCCAGCTGCAGTGCGATGTTCACCACCGCGGTTGTCACTGTAGGTCTCAGGCTCAATAGAACTGGATCTTTGCCGACCCTGATGACTTCCGAGTGGGAGGAACTCGAGATTGTTCTGAAGGGTTTCCAACTCTTCGGCTTGTCAACCCGTCGTTGATCGTCCTTGTCCTCAATGAACAAGCCGATGCCTTCCTCTTGGTGGTAGACCTGTCACCTGTCGTCCGCCGTGGCATAGTGTTTGCCGCTGCGATCATGGTGCGCCTTCTCAAGCCGTCTCAGTGCTTTGATCACCTCGTCTCAACCATACCTGATCCTCCTGGACTTGGCCGGAAGGTGGTGTAGCCCTTCACGGCGCCGTCCAAGACCACGCCCTCGTCCTTGAGCTCCTTAAAGGCCGCTCCCTGGTGGATGATATATATATATATATATACGCGCGCCTGAATCGTCTCCTTGTTCTTTCGCAGGCTTTCTCAAATGCACGAGGTAGTGCACTTTCCAAGTAGGGAGCGAAGTGTTCCTTGAGCTTCTTCATGAGAGTCCGCAGCATGCGGGCTTCACGCTTGACCTTTGCCGCCTCCGTATCGAACAGCCGATGGGTCACCTTCATCAAAGCCCAGGGGAAGATCACATTCTAGTCCTCCAGGAGAATGTACGGGCGAAGCGCTGCCGCACTCGGTTGCCTCAACCACGGAAGCCGTCGCGCCCCCCATGTCAGTAGCTATGCTCCGCTACCACTGCGGGTTGCGCAGCGTTGTAAAAAGCACCTAAGCTCGCTGTCTCGTTTTTTGCCACTGCGTCCACGATCAGCCCCATGGGCTCCAGGGTTTGAACCATCGGTGAGCGAACCGTGACCATATGTAGGTCGTGTCCAAAGGCTCATGCCCAGTGCAGACAAGTGCAACCGCTATTTACAGGTCTGAATCACAGGGGGACTAATCATGATGTGAAGCTGTTGTTTAAGCTTACCATTGAGGGAGTGCCATTGGAGCTCAGCTGAAGAGGAGAAGAAAGTGTCCTGTGCCAGCCAACGTTTGGAGATGTTGAGAAACAAAAGGTGCAACCAGGATCCCGCAACCTGGCGGCGAAACTTTCGCGAGCGGGCGGCGGAGGCCAAGGGATTGGGAGATGAAGAATCACGCCACTCTCCTACAAGACCCGACAAGCAACCATTGCCAGACATGTTGCTGGAACTTTCGAAAAGCACCAGATTCATGAAAATGGGTCATACGTACCGTTTTGTCTGCTTGCAGCCAAAGCACACCATTGCCCCGCGGCCAACGTTGGTTATCACTTGTTGACGCTCAACCATCACGACCCAGCCTGTCCCGTTGTGCGCGTTGTTGCCGTCCTTTCGGCCAAAAACCACTATGCGTTTTTTTGTCGCGCGGTGACGAAACCGCATCAATTCCAGGTCTGGGTGGAGGATCAGAGCTGCCAGCAATCCTGCTTCGACATCGGTCTCCCTTATTCGGGCGACGATTGCTCTTTGGGTTGGGCCTCCTTCCGCTTCACGGGCTACGTTTGTGACTCCGAACCTTTTGTAGGACGGCCCGCTATCATCTTCAACTATATACGAATATATTCTGTGTACTTCCTTTCCAGTCAATGAGACCCTGACGTTTTCCTTTTTTTGGTGTGTGTGTGGCATCAATTTAATGAGATGCCACAGGCATTCCCCTGGGAAGGCATGTCACTTGAGGTGATCTGACTGGGTGTCTAGAGCAACTTTCAAGAGTTTCATGAGCCTTTCGAGACCGTGCGTCGGTTGGGGCGCTACCATCTTAGCGTCGGAAACTTCCGCTTTCGGTGTTTGGCAAAGGAGGGATGGTGCAGTTGAGCCAGAATGAAGACTGCGTTGTCACCGTGCGCTTGTTGCTGGCCTGCAGCTGTCCGAGTGAGGTGACACAGTAACAAACGCACTTAGACAATGGGTTTGCAGTTAACTCTGTTCCACGAGGAAATGGATGAGGGAAACGAAAGGTCAATCGTCCGAGCGCTTGAAGATGTTTCAAAAACTGTTTGCGCACATCTGCGGAAAACAGCGGTGGCTCAGAAAAGCAGCTGCAGAAAGCGGCGGTGGGGAATGCTTTGGGGTCTATCATGAGAACAACCATGGCATCAAAAAACAGCGGTGGAGATTGGAGTGTTGAAAAAGCGCAGGTACAGGTGGATGATCAGTCCACCCTTCCCTCGTCATACCGTAGCTTCGTTGCGTACGGTAGTTGGCAATCAGTTTTTGTTGTGTCCATGTACTTGGGCCTTTCAAATTGTTTTTGTGAATAGTTGGTAGTCGCGTTCTTTATTCCCTTGTACTTTGGCCTCCAAACATTTTTGGCCCACTGTTGGCAGTCAAGTTTGGGTGTTCTTTTTCTTGCGCGTGCCTTTTTTGGTCCAAAGTTGGCGGTAAATTTTTGCGTTTCCTTTTACTTGGGACCCCAAGAAATGTTGGCCTACGGTTGGCAGTCAAGTTTTGTGTATCCTTTTGTTTGGGCCTAATTTGTTTATGGCCCATAGTTGGCAATCAAGTTTTGTGTGTCCTTGTACTTGGGTTTCCCATTTCTTTTGGCCGAAGTTCTGGGGCCTCAAAAAACTTCGGCCCACTGTTGTGAGGGCAAAAGCTAACTTGAGAGCCATGGCGAAAAAACTATTATGAAAAGTGAAATCCTTGAAATAGATGAAATAGAGCAGCATTATTGAAACAGTAGGGTGTTATTTTCGTTCAGCGGTTTTTATGATGCGCAAATGTTCCAAACAAGTCTGGGATGTGGACTGGAAGGTTCGACGGAACTTGGCGTGAAGACAAACTCAGTACATTTGGTGTAAACGGGGTTCGAGAATGTTGTCACGAAGAGGGTTGTAACGCAGAGATTTAAAAAAACAGAGCTATATGAAGAGACCTGCGTCAATGTTTCAAGTAAAGAAGTATTGACAACAGACACTCCAACATGTAACTGCGTACAGCCCCAATAAAGAGAGTCGCACGTGTTTTGCAAAGTTTCTCCTATCAAACGTTGCGCAACATGTGCAATACATCGAATCTTAATTCCAATCCTTGCAAACTCTCTCCTTCAAATGCTTAAACACCCTAGACCCCAAGCTAATCCTTCTCTCCCTCCGCCCCTTCCTTCCTTCCTTCCTTCCTGCCTGCCTGCCTTCCTTCCTTCCTTCCTTCCGTCCTTCCTTTCTTTCTTCAATCTTCTTCGCTTTCGTCCTATTCTCCACTTCCTCTCTGTACTCCTCTCCATGTTTTCCTTCCTTGCCTCAATGTTTTTTCCTCCCCATCTCCTCCCCCTTCGTATTCTCCAAGCAGGTTGAACAACTTAATTGACTTAATGTATTGAATTTAACGTCCACTACGATTTGGATGTCGATTTCGATTCGCGGCTAACATCAACTACGCACATAAAACAAACTTAAACGAGAAATGATCGCAACCTTTAGCAATCAAAACAATAAACAGAAAAGGCATCAATCATCGAATCGGTATACTTCCATGCAGTTCAAAGTTTCATGTACTTATATATATATATATTTATTTAAATATCAAGTATACCATGTTTCTTGTATTATATCTTTTCAATAATAGTTTCAATGGACGATAACTTGCACTATTTTGCACCACATGCTTCAAATGCAAAAATGGCATATCTTTCAGTGCTATCTTTCTCCCAATCTCATTAAACAACAAGTTTGTATGTATATATATTTCTTTGGCAACAACTAAGGAATGGATATATAAGTGAAACCAATAGGAGGGAGAAAACACAAAGGAAAACAGGAAAACATACTCAAACAAGTATGTAGTTCTTGCTTTTGGGCCTTCTGCGCTGTCATAAGTTGGGGGGTTTGCCCTCTCGATCCCCCACTGCCCCACTTTCGCTGTGGGCCTGCTGTTGGTCGTGGCGTGGTGCAAATGTCTCCTTCATGTTGCACTAGACAAGGTTGCAAGGAATGACATGCATGCTGCATAGGCACACGGTATCCAACAACATTTTTCACAAGAAAGCGTTGGCTTCGAAACAATGTCCAGGTCATTGAGGAGTATGACCTACGATGTCTGTAATCGAATCCATTCAGATATGTCAGGGGTTTTGCGAAGAGCAAAGCAACCAAGGATTCTGGTGAATATCCTGACATATTTAACACCATGGGTTAGGGATTGAATGGCGCCGAGTGCAACTCGCAATGATGCATTCCTGGGGAGTATATGGATCTTTCTTGGTGTTGTTCCAGCCAAATAAACTTCTCTTGCTCTCTCCGTCTAGCCTTTCCCAAAAGGAGCACGCAAAGGGCCATACAAGAGGCCATCGACCCAGGCTCAAAGATCAAGACCGACAAGACCAGGAACCAAACAGGACTCCGTGGTCAATCGTTTGAAGAGGGCAGTTCATCCATATGTGGGGTTGTCAAAGATCCCCACCCCAGCAGAAGTTCGAAGGAGAATTGCCGACAAAACGGAGGAGGGTCGCAGTGCAAAACGGCAGAAACTGGTGGAAGAGCAAGCAAATCCGCGACTACCGGGACAGACCTTTCTAGAACAGTCAGCAATTTCTCCCAAGACTGCCGCAGACTATCAGATGAGAGTCACGGTGTTTCGAAAGTTTTGCCAGTTGCACAATATCTCAACAACAGGCAACAGGAACTTGGATGCATGCCTAACAACCTTCTTTCAGCAGTGTTTCAACGATGGCATGGAATATGCAGAAGGGTCAAAGTTTTTGGCAGCAATCATAGACAGTTGGCCCGAGGCAGGGGCAAGGGACAAACTACCCAGGGCTCGACGGTCGCTCAAAGGCTGGAAGAACTTGGACCCAGGACGAAGTCGTCCGCCAATTCCGTTTCCATTGGTGGCATTGATTGCTCAGAACACGCTGGAAGCCGGGAGTGTGGCCAGCGCGATGTTAGTGCTGACCATGTTCGTGGCCTATTCCAGGCCAACAGAGACCCTTCGGCTGCAACGGAAGGATCTGGTTTTGTCAACCTCGCTGGGAACGACGTGCATGCTCGTTCTCAACAGAGACGAAGAATCAGCCCTACATGCAAGAGTGCAAGGTCTGCATGCATTGGTACAGGAAATTGAACAAACAGTGGACTCTTTGCCTCATGACGTGCAGGGTGCTCTTCTTACTCCCCTGCGATGGAGGTCACCAGCCCCAAGCAGACATCCAGCCCCAGCCAGCCTTCATCAGGGCCCCCAGCAGGCAAGCAAGACCCAGTTTGGCTCAATGACCCATGGAAGAAATCAGCCAAAACTTCACAGGCGCGTTGGGAAGACCTGCAGTTGCAAGCACCAATCCCGTTTTACGGTACTGACACCAAACCCATGCTCCAAACACATAGACTGCAGGTGTCACAAGCACGGGCTGGTGTCGTCCTCACCACCAAGCAGCACATTGCTGAGCTTCTCAAATTTGCAGACAAGCTAGACCTAGCTCTGCTGGCCCCAACCATTGATGGATCAAAGCCACCAAATGCCTACCAAACCTTCGAAGGCCCCTTCGAGATCACTGTGGAAGATCCAGTCACCAAACTACCCTTCCCTTCCCTCCCTTCCTTCCATGTCTTTCTTCATTTTCCATCCTTTTCGTCCTTCTCTCCACTTTTCATCTGTTTACTTCTTCTCTCCTCCATTCCTCTTTTTCCTGCCGGCCCTCCTTCCTATTTCTTGCCTTCCATTCTTTTCATTCCGCCGCAGCACCAGACACCACTACCAAACGAGCAAGCAAACAAGAAGCAAGAGTTCAAATCGGTCGCCCACGAGCCTTACCCAACCGGGGCCATGTTTTCACTCATGGCTACCACGGACGATGGATACTCTCCATCAGTATACATATTCAGGCGCTAGATTGCAACTCACCCTTTCATAACAGTCGACCGCTCGCTATGCCGGCAAATCAACCTATCTTGGAACCCTCGCAACTAAACTAAACATAAATGTCTAGGTCGCATGTGCGTAGAATCTGGCACGGGTGAAATTTCCAATCGCTGCAAAGGTCTGGACAATGGCGTGGACCTCCCCGTCGTCTTTGGTCACGACTTCTTGGCGCACAGCCACAACTGGACGTTCCTCGTGAAGCAAGGTTCCAATCTTTGGAAACTGTTATGACAAGGCTTGTACAGCAAGAAGGGCTTTAAGCTTTCACGCCCTTCAAATCGGTATTTGACGGCGCCGCCGCCGCCACGGGCAAAACAGGGAATGTAAATGTTGTCTTCGGCCAAAACTGATGCCCGATGACCCGGCCACAGTCGGAAATCACTGAGCTTGATGGTGTCTTTGCCACTCTCTGGCAGGAAGGCGTATTCTATGACCATTGCGAGAGCCATGACTCCTAAAGATCCTAAAGCTCGATTCAAATTGGGTCAATCCCCTGATGTTTCAATCCTCTGATGCTACCAGGAGCGACTCCTATATAGACAAGCAGGTCGAGGATTGAAAGAGTAAGAAAAGACAGCGTGTGCCGCATATGGGTTGAACTGTCATTCCTCTGATCAAAAAATTCCAACCCTCTGATGTTTCAATCCTCTGATGCTACCAGGAGCGACCCCTATAGGCAAGCAGGTCGAGGATTGAAACAGAAAGAAAAGACAGCGTATGCTACATATGGGTTGAACTGTCATTCCTCTGATCAAACAGCTCCAACCCTCTGTTGGTTCAATCCTCCGATGTTGCCAGGAGCGACTCTTTTCGACAAGCAGGTCGAGGATGAATATCGAATCGAATCGAAACCACTGGTTGTTGAGCCAAATAATTCAATTGCAACTGGGCATACATGGTTGAACACCACTTCAACTTGTTAGACAATCAAACCGAATCAACCCTTATAGACTTTTCAAGATCAAACATTTCGTCTGGAGGTTCAATCACTGAAAT